CACTTTTGTTTTTATTTTTATCACTAGTAGTTTTCTTAGGAAAGGAGATGTTGTTTGATCCAGAACGTAAAGTTACCATAAAAGACTCAGAAATTAGTACACTTTCTACAGATTTTTACCTTAATGAATTACTTTCTGTTTTAATTCAAACTGCATTCTTTAAGTTAAAATTATGGCCAGACCTTTTACAGTGAACAACTAATGCATTGTTTTGTAATAGATCCATTTTGTTTTCATATAATTCTTTTTAAATTTCTAGAGGTTGCACCTATGCATTTCTTGTGACATTATTTTCCATCTGTATTGTAAATGTCTGCTTCAGGTCTTAGCTTAATATTGTTTTGTATAAATTAAATCTCTTATTGTTTTGTAAGAACATGAAGTTTTATATTAAGTAACATTTATACACATACAATAAAAGACTAAACAAAAGTCCTTTGTCATTCTTGTTCAACAAAATATGCACCAAAGAGAGATTGCTTCCCAAATAAAGAACTATATATACTAATTTCTAGAGTTAATGGTAATGGAGCTAAATAATAATACATCATGTTAAATTAATGGGTGATGATAATATGACATGTTGGGTAAATAATATCACATTGTGGTCACCAATGTAATGGAAGAACTATTGGAAGAAAGCTTTATTCTCCCATTTGTATTTCCCCTATTATGGGCATTATTTTATCCATGATACACTAAACACTCTACTTCATGGGCAGAATGGAATGGCTGAAAAAAAAATGACAAACATTCTTTGCTCTTAGAGAGACTTTTATATCACTAAGACATATACAATACTATATTTGTACATACTTACATGTGTCCCATGCAGAGAAAAATATAACATGTATGTTCACAGCAAGCAGAGTGAAAGAAGAAGGAAAAGATAGTGTTGTACATATAATATGGAAATTCTTTTGTGTTTCTGGAGAAGCCATGTTTAGTACTCCAGATTCAAACAGGCTGGATTCATCTATTATGTCACAAACAGGAAATGGCGAGTCTTGGGTTTTCCCAAATTGTGGACTGATAGGTGGAAATAGTTTCTTTCTATATCTGTGGAAGATATATTACTGAAGGGAAACAGCACTATGTGCTAAGCTATATCACGTGCTGGAGGAGGCTGATTTAGCCTCAGTCCAGACCAAGAGGCCCGACCCAAACAAATGACTGTTTTGTTTGGTTACTGTAAACTAGGTATATTAAAAAATTTACCGACAAATGGCATACTATGATAAAAATGTTTTATTGTCAAAATCTTTACGTTATTATTAAGAAGACCAAAGTTTTTTTTTTTTTATTAGTAAATTTTTTCATCCTTTTTCGAACATTCTAAATTTTGATTAAAAATTTTTGTTTTTTTTCGTCAGCAGAAGTACCATAAAATAAAACAACTAATTTTAGCATCTTCTTTATAGTGACAGACATATTAATTTGGAAATTCTTGCAAAAATCAAATAATTGTTGGATTTAATGAAACTTTCAGAACTTATTCCCAAATGAATGAAATTATTTTAGAAGTGTTTTTGTTTTTTAGAAAGTCTTGGTAAAAATATTTTTTTTTTACCTCTGTTACACCCCACCCTAATTTTGTGAAAACTCAAGAAATTCAAAGTTGTAACTTTTATTGATTATATTAGTTAAGAACAGAAATCTTTGAAGAATTTAAATCATCAATAATTTTGTAAAATCAAATGACCAGTTACCAAAAATCAGCTCTGAATTGTAAAATAAAAAACCAATAAAATTAAGACATTATTGTAGTAGACACAGCCTGTCCCCCTGGTGTAAGCAACATAGTATTGCTTGTGTTGTGCATGGGAGAATCAATCCGTGTGGACTGGGTGATGTCTCACTGAAAATCTATGTAGTGACCTCGCTAGACACCCTAAAATGTCATCCTTTGTTAACACCGGGAAGTGACTTGAGGGGACACCACCATTGCAACAGGTGCGAATTTTGATAACTCAGCCACATATACTTACAAGCTGTTTTGGCAATATTGCAAACTATATCGAAAAGGAAAGTTTGATATGTATCTTATATCAGACTTTGACAGCTCAGCATCTAGAACAAACATGGTCAAATGGATAGAAAAGGCGGAACTCGTTTGGTGGATGTGCAAAGTAAAGCAGCCAGAACATGTGATTCCTCTAAGACTGTCTGGTAGGGTGTTTGCCATCTATCAGCAATTACGTGTAAAGGAAAAATGCAGACATTGAACATATAAAATCAGCCCTTTACACAATGTACATTGATGGATGGGTTTGTCACTTATGACCAATTTCTGAGTGGTGCTTTTGACCTGGCTGTATTATTCAGGATTATCAGTGACCATGTCTTGGTGTGCACTTTTGTCAAGAGGTCACCAAATGGGATGAAATGGCTCCTTTGTGCTTCTCGGATGGCAGGTATTGACCATCAAGTAGATTCTTGCTCATGCTTGAGTGATAATGAAAGATATGAACCCAGATGAAGACTTGGCAGTAGCATCAGGACTATGCAACCGCCTCCTAGGGTTTTTAATGACATGATTTGACATTGATGCAATGGCCGTAATCACTTTGCCAAAGATTGTAAAAGGAATGTATTTGTTATAACTGTGATAAAATAGGCCACATATCCCAAGATTGTCAGGGAAAAAGAGACATGGTGATGGCAACTCAGTGCTGGTTTCCTTCCCAGTCAAGATGTAAACTTTTAAAAAATATAGATTGTCAGGGGAAAAGAGACATGGGGATGGCAACTCAGTGCTGGTTTCCTTCCCAGTCAAGATGTAAACTTTTAAAAAATATAGATTGTCAGGGGAAAAGAGACATGGGGATGGCAACTCAGTGCTGGTTTCCTTCCCAGTCAAGATGTAAACTTTTAAAAAATATAGATTGTCAGGGGAAAAGAGACATGGGGATGGCAACTCAGTGCTGGTTTCCTTCCCAGTCAAGATGTAAACTTTGCACTGCTAATGATAGAAATTAATGTGTATGAAAGGAAGTGCATCATGCTAGTGGACTCCAGTTGCTCCTACAACATAATGAGCAAGAGGGTGTGCTGGATGTGGAAGAAATGAAGCATTGACATTGTAACCATTGGCAGGAGAACGTGGATGTGTGGTGTGAGGCCCACCAGCCTTCATGTGGGAAATGGAAGAACTTTTGAGATGGATGCCCTGGTATTGCTAGAGGAACCTCTTGGATTTGATCTCTTAATTGGAATAGACACAATCAAGGATCTTGGTGGAATGTCTATTTCTAAGTTGGGGAGGTTCAATTCACTCAAGATCCAGTTTGTCTGTGTCATCACACATACAGAAACTGGATCTTGAGTAGTCTCTTTTTAAGAAACCGATTTTCAGACAGTATTTGATCAGCAGCAGAATGAATGAACTGCGTCCTGGAAATGGGCAGAAGGCAAAACAACAGGCAAGTTGCAAAACTGCATCGCAGAGTATTCTGTGCCAATGAAAATCAGGATTGTATGAGAGGGAGTTGCAATAATGGATTGAGAAGGGTTGGCTTATTCCACATAACGAGCAGATGCTTGGACCCTCAAAAGGGCTACTTCCGCAAAACAAGTCGAAAGTGCTTACTATAATGGACTACAAGGAACTCAACCTCAGATGCTGATGTTTGCACCAGCAAACTGAAAGAATGGAGATGCAAAGGATTGAACGTTGCAGTGCTAGATCTCAGATCAGCCTATCTATAGGTGCACATCAATGAACCACTTTGGTCATACCAAACTGTTATCTTTCAAGGCAGAAGGTACTGTGTGACCAGATTGGAATTTGGGCTAAATGTTGCCTCCAAAATTATGAAATCCATCATCGATGTTGTGATACCTCAGGATGAAAAAATCACAGAGGCAACCTCAACGTACATTGATGACCTGTATGTAAATAAGGATATCACATATGCTACTAGTGTTGCTGAACACCTGTCATGCTTTGGACTGACAAGCAAAATTCCAGAGCGACCAAAAAATATATACTGCTTAACTGTCTTGGGGGGAACACAATATTCTGCTTTGGAAGTGCATTCAGCTCTTCAAAAAGTGTGCTTGGTTCTGCATAAAGCCTTCACCATTAGAATCAAATGATTTGTGCTTGTAGTCTGGCTGTCAGTTTCTAGGAACTGAGTTGCTTGACACTCATACGTTGAAAATGACAGGAGAGTCCATTAATATATATATATATATATATATATATATATATATATATATATATATATATTATTCAAATTTTATTTTTATTGGATGCTCATGTTTGAAATAGATGCCCTGTTTTTTTTTTCATGTTAAACAGTGTGTATTACTAATTTGCTCATTCAATGAAAATTAATAAAGAAATTTTTTTTATTTATTGACTTTTCTCAAGTGTACAGTCTGCTAAATGTAATACATACTGTTTAAAATAAAAAAAAACAAAACAAGGCATCTAGTATTTTGTTACCACCATTATACCACCAAGCTTACAGAAACTGGTATTCACAAGCAGTCACCCATCTATGTATTGACCAGGATTAACATTGCTTAACTTTGGTGATAATACAAGAACTGGTGTGATATGTGATATGGCTATAAGCCTCATTATTCATGAAGATTCTTTTGAACGATGTCTTTTTGGGTTTAATTTTTATTTATTTATTTTTAGCTAGAATCCTTTATTTTCTTCTTTTTTTCTATTATTCAAATTTGGTACACTAAACTCCATGATGCACATGTTCACAAAAAACATCATGATAATTTGTGACACTAAACAACAACATCGACAAATGCACTCATTCAAAATTTGTATGGAATAATGAAAATATGTCATCTCAAAATTTTACGTAAGAGTTGAGTAATTCTATTTTATAAAGAAGAGAAAAGAGTTTGTAATCATTGCTAAAACTTAACGTATAAATATACAAACTGATGCAATGCTGTAAAATTTGGGGCAAATGAGAGACCCTACATTTTTATACATGAGTAACCTGAATGTTTATAATTTGTTTTTATAGGCTGATATAATACTGCAAAATTTGGAGCAGATGAGGAACCTCAAGCGAACAATTGTGCATATCGACATGGATGCTTTCTATGCAGCAGTAGAGACACGAGATAATCCTTCCTTGCAGAACAAACCAATGGCTGTTGGTAGCAATTCGATGCTAGTAAGTATCTTCAACAACAATGAAAATCTAAGAAAATGAAAATGCTTCTCATATGTATTTACTATTGTCTGCTAAATACAAATGTTGGCACGATTTATTTGCTTAAGTCCCATGTCCAGCATTGGTATGACTCAATAGTTTTCAAATAATTTTCTCTATGGTATGATCACTTTTCGTTTTTATTAAACTTATATCAAATTTCCTGGTAGAACCTTTTTTTGTTTGAACTGTTATGCTTATTTTATTTGTTGAAAAATTCCTGCCAGCATGATTATTTTATTTGGTACAAAAGAGTACTAAGCATAGTTACCTCAACATTATATAATAATTGCCAATGTGTATTTATTTATATCTTTCATGTCATACTAAGGGGGATAATTATTTGATTTATTATTTGTTGAGTTATTTCCCTTGGCTAAAAATAATCAACATCAACACTAAAAATGGCATAATGATATTGTCTTTACATTCTTATGCCTGCTGTATCATATATTGAACAAAATATTTTATAATTCCTTTAATTGCTGCTGTATATCACATATCAGCCTTTGTGAGTTCTGGATTTCTGCTTTATTGAATCTCAATACATTGTTTCAAAACTTTGCATCTCAGTATTAAAACTTTTTAACAATTGCCATAGTTTTTGATGGCATGGGTGTAGAAAAAAAACAAACAGTGATGGGGTGGGGGTCAAAAAATGCAGTACTTGCCGGCAGGCCAGTTGTTTTTTCTTCTTCTATGGTCACCTCAAGGAAATGGATTGCGTGACTCTCTTTCTCAGCTGTTACACTGGGCAGTTGTGAAACAGACACCGAACTCAGCCGCTTCGACTTCCTCTTTGTTCGTCTGTCAATTTGTACATCCAATTCTATTGCACGCTGTCCGCTGAATGACTTCCGATTAACTTGTGCTCGTTGCACCCTGCTTTTTATACTGTTCTAATACGGACGAAATTTGCATGTGTGCAAATATCGTCTCGTTTTGGGCGGGATCGGCGTGCATAAATTGCGTCTTCAATAGCAGCCATATTTCTTTTTGTCATCACTTTGCAAGCAAGACATGTTCGCACTTGTTTTGAATTCTGAGGTAAGTCATGTCTTTCGTCACAATAGGTACACTAGTCTCGGATAAATAGAAGAATGGAGATAGGAACATATATTTTTGCATCAACTTCCAAAGTTGAGAGAATCTGCCTGTCTTCAAAAACTAACATTTAAAATTTTGTCTCTTTAGCTTGGCTTTGAGTACAATTAGTGGAAAATATTTCTGCTTGGGTTGTTTAACTTTATTTCTACTTTTGTTGTTTCCACATTTCTGTTGATTTACTTATTCAATTTTATTGTTTCTGACGGTAAAAAGTGAATATTGGTAGACACTATCTGGAAGAGGATGAGAACAGTCTCACTTTTTTTCCATACAGGTTGTACACCTGTAAAAGGTCAGAATTAGTTAAAAGTTTAAAAAATAATATCAATAGGCTCACACAACTCTTGGAATGGTAACAACTCCTCTCAAAATTACGGGATATATTGTAACTATTTCACCCACCAAACAGATATGATCTTTATATTTCATAATACTCATCTTTGTAAGGCACAAGGCCATATCAGGTGGGTAGATTGCATTGTGTCACTTTTTTTTAGTGTGTGTAAATGTGTCAGGTGTGCTGCCAGCCTTGAAAAATAGTATTCAGTTTTACTGGCTTTTGCCTGGAGCAGATTGACCTCTGCCTGCTAAGCAAAACATTATATTTACATATGGAGAGAAAATAAAATTGCAACACTTTGAAACTGATTCAAACATGAAGCTAATTTAACTGGATTACAATAAAAACATCACATATACAGATCAATACATGCATAGGTTCCAAAATAAGGTGGGGGCTATCAGAGCTATCAGAGCAGCCACAAAGAGGAGCTCTCAGGAAGTTGAGCGTCAGACATTCTAATGGCGGGCAGGGAAGGATCTCTGTGATTATTAATAGAGAGCAGTTTTGTTTTTGTAGCATTAAAGTTAACCAGCCAATTCAGCCCCAGTTCACAACTGATTGGAGGTCCTTTTTGAGATGAACGGCCAGGTTAGTTTTGTCAGCAACACTAGATTTGTTTTTGAGGCAGGAGTAAATTGTAGTGTCGTCCGTGTAGATGCCTACTTGGGAATCAATGGCGTCGGGAAAATCGTTAATGACTTACTTCTTATCAATGGAATATCAAGGAAATAAGGATGATTCATCCTTGTGTACAGAGCATTGTGGTTCCCACTGCAAAAATCAGGGTTGGTGGAACCAAGGAACATAGCTCGTCAGAACACTTGCCATGGAAATAGTAATAGATTTGCGAAAGGTTTGCAACATTTTGTCTATGGGAAAGGGGTTGTATGGTGGAAAATAATTCATCACATACAAGGCTTTGTAGTTGCTTTTGAAATTTATCAAGACAAGCAATTGAAGATTGGGCGGCTTCAGCCCAGATATAATAGCAATACTCAATTTTGTTTCTGATATAGTTTTTGTGATGACAGAGTATAGTAGTGGAGAGAAGTAAATCATTTTCCAAAATCTTTAGCAATCAATCGTATATATGAGTTCCACTTCAGGTTTGTTCAAGAGTTGTTCAAGGCAAGGGACATCCTTGAGAAAACACCCATCCATCATGAGAGGTGAAAGTTTGTGGTCTGTCTGGGAGTGGTGGAATGTTACTAGTTTGATTTTGAATGTATTGAATTTTACAAGCCAATCTTTCCCCCATTGAACCAGCAGAGTTAGGTCAGAGGTGAGATCATTAACTGGGTAGAACTTTTTTAATCATACACACACACACATAGATGGATACAGCCAAAGGCCAGATAAAATGGAGATAGGAAGAACACTCTCACTTTTTTTTCCAAACAGGTTGTACACCTGTGGAAAGTCAGAATCAGTTAAAAGTTTTAAAAAATAATATCAATAGGCTCACACAACTTTTGGAATGGTAACAACTCCTCTTAAAATTACAGGATATAATACAACTATTTCACTGACCAAACAGATAGGGTCTTTATATTTCACTATACTCATCTTTGTAAGGCACAAGGCCATATCAGGTGGATAGATTGCATTGTATTACTTTTTTAAGTGTGTGTATATGTGTGTGGGGGTGCTGCGAGCCTTGACAAATGTTATTCAGTTTTACTGGCTTTTGTCTGAAGTGGTCAGAGGAGAGATCACAAACTGAGCAGAACTTTTATACTCACACATGTGCACACACATAGATGGGTACAGCTGAAAGCCAGATGAAATGGAGATAGGAAGATTGTGTTGCACCAGTCTTCCAAGTGAGAATAGCCCATCTCCCTTAAAAGTCTGTATTTAAAATAATTTGGGTTCTCACTCTGACCTCTGGTAATTAGAAGAAAATTTGCAGTTATCTCTTAAACTCGCCAAAATACTTTATACTTTGGGGCTTAAAGAACCAATAATTGAAAGAAATCAATTTTATGAGGTATATATATATATACTGTGATTTCTGTCTGAATTTCTGGGAATGAGGAGTTATTACTTACATTTGAATTAATGTCTTCATGTCGAAATTTAGCTTAGTAACAGCCAAACTCGGCACAAAAAAGGTTGGGAAACTTTGTCATTACGTACAATGACAGGAATCCCACGTAACACAGTTAACAGAGACCTGAAACCATCAATATACAACCATAACAAGTGAGATAAAGAAGAAGGAAAAACCACTTGAAATAGTTATAAAATTTATTGAGGGAAAAGAAAAAAAATAAAATGAGGGGGAAAAAAAAATTAGTCTGATGTTAAAGTTCACTGGTACAACTTGAAAATAACTACCAAAAACGTCCCTTTGGCGAGCCCTTAAAAAAGACTCCAACAACAGTTCAGAGAGAGTGAAAGAGGTAGAGAGATAGCAGAAAGAGGGGAAAAATTAGACTTACAGTTAAAAAAAAAATAGCTTTAGTATTTTTTTTTTAGTAGCTGGGCAGAAAGGTTTTTTAGATATTTTGAGTTGCTCTCCTTGGAGGATAAGCAAGATTCCTGTTAAGAATAAATGTAGACTTGTTTTTTCAAACTTTCTCTGCGACACAAATTCAACTTCTTAGATCTTTTTTTCATATACTTTTTCACATCAGGATTTCTTCCTCCAATAGGACAAAATAACTCCTCAAGGAAGGTAGTTTTTCAGCCGCTTGACTGACTTGTTTTCGCTCAACCCGATTGTCGAAAAGAAGACTTCTTTGCGAATGTTCTATTGTAAAATTCTCTTTTACAATAATTACTTTAACCGATTTTTTGATAAGTCTTTACTGACTTGTCCTTGGTTGCTGAACAATAATCCACTTGATTACTGGAACAGAATCTTCAAGCAAGTTTCTTTTCGTCGCAAGACAAGATGACTTCATCTTCACACTGTGAACACACTTTTTCTTTCTGGCTACTACTGACTAGATTTCTCTAATCTAGTCGAAAACAAGCGGGAAAATCACGTACGACCAATCGTTAGACACGATTTCACGATGTGACACAGCAGCAGCAGTAGTTCTTACACTGCACACAGGGGGAAAAGGAGAGGAGTAAGGAAAGTAAGAGAGATAGAAAGATAGTGACAGAAATTAAATTTCTGACATTCAGTTTTGTTGTTATCACGTTTCAGCTGTTGTGTCCTCCAGTCTTCTTCAGGTATCTGTCCATCTGGGTAAACTTCAGGAAATTTTGAACTGAACCATTTATTTAATCTACTGGGTTTAGATAATTCTCATTCTGTTGTCCATGTCTAGGTATGTCTCGACTTGTTCTTTTTAGTACTGTTATTGCTTGTACTGTTTTCACTGAGTCAGAATTACCTGACCCAGGGACTGAACTCATCACCAAATTTATGAATCAATTAAAATCTGTTTTCCTAAACAAAATAGAGATTTTGATTGTTTCAAAAAATCATTTCACATGTTCTCATCTCCAAGTTTGAATTGGTTTTGTCAAAATCAACTAAAGGGAGGTAACTCATCTGATTATTTTGCTAATTCAGTTTTGGATTGGTTCTCTCAGAAATGAAATTCTAGTGAGTATATTTTAACTCACATTTAAAAAAATGTGAGTTAAAATATACTCGTTAGAATATCATTTAATCTGTTTTTGTCTCCTTGCGACAATCTAATTTTATCTTTGTATAGTTTGGAAGTTTTTTAATTCATTAAATGAGTGTGTCCATTATGTTTTCACTGTTAGTTGATAAACCATATAAAACAAACAATTTATCATAGAAAATTGATGAACATTTTCATTAAATAAGAATATAAATAAATATTAAATAAGAAATTAAAAAGAGACATTGAGACAGTGATCTGTCTATCATTTGGAATCTGTTTCTTTCATTTCACAAATCTCCTATGACCACTACACTGATTTTGCTTTATTTGTCTCTTTACATCAGTTATGACAGTTCCTTTTTTTCTGGTCATAATCAGTTTAAAATAGTCATTTTTGTTATGGTCAGGTAATCTTAGTCCTTACGAAAGGCATACATCTACCTCCTCTCCCCCTTGTGTGGAAGGAAACAAGTTGACTATTTTCCCCAAAATAATCAGAGGGAAGTGTACAGTTTATAGACATTAAAAGAAAATAATAACATAATGAGGGGATATACTCTCTCATGTAGTCATTTATTCACACATCTGGAATAGATAGACCTGGCCAGTTAAAATTATTTTATTTTCCCCCATTTTTTTTTTACAAAATAATCTTTTATTTCCACCTCTCCTTCTATTCCAGACTTAAGAGTACTAAGCTAAGACTTCCATCAGCCCCCATTTTTGGGGCTTGTCAGATTTTTCTTTTAATATATGATTTATAAAATACAGAGAAATTTTGTACTTTTCAGAAACTTGATTTTCTTTTGTTTTTTTGGGGTTTTTTTTTTTTTTAACCTGATTTGAATTTCTCTTTCCAGTCAACATCAAATTATGTTGCCCGACGTTTTGGAGTCCGAGCTGCAATGCCAGGCTTTATTGCCAAAAAGCTTTGTCCCCAACTTGTGATTATCCCTCCAGATTTTAAAAAATATACCTCAGTTAGCCGAGAAGTACGTAGCATTTTAAAGAAATATGATGAGAATTTCTGCCCAATGAGCCTTGATGAAGCTTACTTGGATCTTACAAATCATCTTCAAATTCGAAAGCAGCTTCCTGAAGAAAATCGTACTGTGATCTGCCGAAGTTGTGAAAATTTAGACACAACCTATTGTCTTTGCGATCCAAATCTTTCTCAGCAAGTAGAAACTTTTGAGCCATACCATGAAATACATTCAGATGCCAAATCTTCAAGTTTTGTCTCTGGTAGTAACAAATCCTCTTGTATGGAAGATGATGATGGTGATGAAGATTCAGATCAAAAGACAACAGAATTAGAATCAGACAAAGACTCTTTGGAAAAAAAGACTGAGAACAATATCTGTGTGTCCTGTAAGCGTCCACTTCCAGGTTATAAGTCAGTCACTTTTGGTGTTTCTGCTGAAGATGCAGTGCAAGAAATGCGTTATCGAATTGAACAGCGAACACGACTCACTGCAAGTGCTGGTAAATATCAACTTTATTTTTTTCTTACTGCTTGGGTAGTTTTAATAATTGTATTTTGATCTCGGATATCAGTAAGTTTCAATTCATTCGTTAGCAGCTTTTGAATGGATTTAGGTTAATATTTATTAAAAATATAATTGAAGTAATTTAGATAATTTTTCATTTAATTTTTTTATTTTTTTATACAATGTTGTTCACCCTGTACGAGGCCCAAGAGCCACTCGAGGTAGAGGGTTACAGAGTAAGAGGCACAGTTTATGGGGTTATGTAGGGAAGATAATGGTTAACCCTAGACATATATAGCAATGTAGTCAGGTAATTACTAAAGCGGTACATGGAACAAACCATTCTTCCATTATCTTTAGTGATAGATCATATGAGGTCTCAATTGAATTTAAGTCGCCATGGGAACATCAGTCCATCATGACTGGTGATAGTTCTTTGTAACTATTAACACTATTTATATACAGACTATTGTCCTAATCTTTCTTGCTATCACATGTCTTCCTCATATAATTGGATAATCTATAAGGAATTCTGAACTGAACCCTTAATTTAATCTCTTCATTCCACTGCTAGTTATTATTTTTTATTTAGTACCATTCAGTTATTGCTTGTCTGTTTGTGCTGAGTGCAAGTACACATTGCCTGACCCGGGGATTAAACTCATGATTCTTATATCTCTAAATTCACAAACCAGTGCTTTTATTCACAATTTGCTGTAGTAAACTTAGAGCCTTAATCTTAATCTGGCTACTGATTTGGTTGCTGATGAGGACTATCTATATAATAAATGCCAATGTCAGTGTGTCACACTTTTTCAATTAAAGGGACACAACTTTCTAACTTTCAATAGCTCATATTACAGAAATTTGCAGCTGCGGAAAGAAATATAAAGGGGAGACAGGCCATCCCCTTAAGGCAAGGCTTCAAGAACACCAGAAAGCTGTAACATGAGGGGAAGTGGAAAAATCAGGCGTGGCTGACCACATATGGAGAGAGAGAAGGGAAATCACCACCCACTGTGGGATCAGGTTGAGATCATAGACAAGGAACACCATTGGAAAATTCGTAAACTTAAGGAATCAGCACATATGCTAGGCCACAAAAATCTCCTAGAAATGAATACAATATGGGAACCAATAATAAGGAGTGCCAGAGAAAAGCGTATGAGCTCTGGTAAAATCATGCAATGATAACAGCAAAAAATTGCAATATGAGCACTGGTAAAAATAGTTGCTGATGACATTAGGTTTATAATACCCAGAAATTCATACACAGATGTTGTCAAGGCACAGTGGATAAAGGCGTTTGTTAGATCCAGTGATAGGACCCAAAGGGTGTGAGTTCAATACCTGAGTAAGGCAGTGGAGAACTTTCAGAGGAAAAGTAGAGGAAAAATAACTGATAACTGACATCCATTAAACAGTTTACCCCAGTGAGGGTTCAGTTTGACATTCCAACCACCTGAAGAAGGCCGAAACGTTGTAATAAATATGGCGAATATTGTCTGAATATTGTAAATAATGTACATAATACCTCATCTCAGAAATATAGACAGATTCTCAAGTTTTCATTACTGCAATTGTTTTCGGTGTTTTTTTTTATGTGATCTTTTATGACAAAGTTTTTTATATGATAACAATTTTTATAACTTGGAAATAAATTTGGGAATAATTGAAATTGTGAATTCCATTAAAAGTGACCTATAAAATTAATTGTTTAATTAATTCAAAATGAATTGTTTGTATGGAAATAAGGACCTACGTACATCAAATTGTGGCGCCAGAAGAATTATAGTTAAACATTTAAAATGTAAGCTTAGATCTTAATGCAATACTTAAATGGAATGATCAATTTTGAGTTCTTCTGTAGTTTATTGTTGCCTATCACATATGTCAGCAGTATGCCTTGCAAAAAAAATCTCTGCCAACAGAGAACCAGATTGCAATCAAAAGGGCTAACTAAGGTTGCAGTGAGGAAAAGAAAGTGTCATGCAAATGAAGACCCAGATCAAACGGCAGCCAGGAGGGCTTCCAATGCTGAGAATATGCAAAGACTTAGGGACTATCAAACTCCGGAACAAACCGATGGTCTAATCAAGAGCCCTCTGCAGGAGCTAGCTTAAATGCCACCTGATAGGGCGGCTTTTAAGCTAGTAGTGTAAATAGTAATGATAATTCTTCATCCCAGAAATTCAGACAGAAATTGCATGTACATATATATGGAGGAGTGAAGAAATCTAGTTGTCATTAAGTGATGAAGAATTTGAGAACAACAAAATGGAAGATGTCAACCCTCCTCCTGAGAAAGGCACAAAGGAGTTTCTTTCATGATGAATGTAGCTCTCTGCTTCCCATGGACAGGCTTCTTAAGCCACAAACGTGTTCACAGAAATACCCCACCTACCATAGGTTAACCGTTATTTTATGATACCCAGCAAGATTTTTTGTGCCGTGTTTATGACAAAGTGTGTCAGTCAGCTAGTGGACTCATTCAGCATCATAAAGCTAAACATCTAGATAATCAGATTTCTGTTTGAAGACTTGTCCCATAATTAATATGGAATGGTTTGCAAGTCACTTTCAGATTTTATGAGACATTTGAGACATCATCAATGATATGGAAATCATTCCTAAAATGTTCATTTGTGAGTTAGGAGTTTTGGGGGTGATCTTACTCATTCATGAATCAATTTCCACCATGTATATTCTACTTTTCTTTTCTGACAAATCACAATATTTAAGTGTATGGTAAGAGTCATATTCACTACATTAACAATTGTCAGTGGGATTAACTTCACTCTAGTCTGTGTATTCTATATTAATATTTACTAAATTATACTTAGTTTAGACTGGTGTCATAATAATTCATCTCCCTGTGTAGATTGAACATGAAAATAATTTTTAAGACTAGGTTCTTAACCATCATTTCCACAGCAAAGCACAAAGGTATTTGCTAAATTTAACCTACTCAGATACAGTAGCAAAAGATGAACTATGAATAACTTTTGGAGATATGCTTGTTAAATGTCACCATACTTTAGAGCAAAGGTCCCCAACCTTTTATAGCTCATACCCCACTTTGAATCCAGAATTTTTTCTGTGGCTCATTAAATTATTACAGTGTAAAAAATTACTTCTATTTTATATAAAATATATCCAACTATAAAGTTTCTGTGGCCCACCTGAAATTTGCCATGGCACATAGGTTGGGAAACACTATTTTAGACAGCCTGGATTTGAAATTTAGGACAGGTTATTCTTATTCAGGGGAGATAACTTAAGTTACATCTGTTTCTATACGTCACATTATTTCCAAATTAATTCACTTATAATTTTAGCTTTATAAATTTCCTAACATCTAGTGATATTTTAATCAAAAAGGTTAGGCCTGTGTAATCAATAAAAAAAAGACCCTGTTACTTTAGTCAGTTCCTTGACATTGAAGCCATCAACGACTTTGAATCTTTCTTCCTATATTCACACTGTTGTTTCCTAAGTTGTGATGTTTGTCTATTTCTATGAAGTACTCTTGCCTCTCAAATAAACGCTCAGTGGGGGTTGGTCCCTTCAATTCCCAAACATTTAAGAAATGTTAATGGTAGAATAAAAGGGGTATACTGTTTTTCTGATGATAGAAAAATCAAAAAAGAATGGGTGGGAACTGGTTTCACATGCTCCAGTGAATAAATATTAATTTTTTTTACCACATGTATTATTTGCTGTCATAGAATTTTAATAAGCATATTTTTCAAATTGCTTTTAATTGAATACATTAAACTGTTTTTTTTTTTTAATCAATTTGCCCTAAACAAGGCAACAATACTACTAATTTGCAGGAGGCTACTGGGATGGAAAGAGATGAGAAAACTTTAAAGGAACTAAAAACCCAATCCTAAACAGGAAACAAAGGACAGGCCGCTACTCCTTTATATGAACAAATATTAGAAATTATATGAATTCGAATTTGAACAGGACTGTCTTTTATTTCAATTTGATAAATCGAGCAACCCTACCCTTGGGACCAAATTGTATGCCTTATATGACATAATGGCTACGGAAAGTAGTAATAAACTTGATCCTCACTGGGTGTCCCACACTTGTGGTCTAACCTTTGTAAAAACCTTTGCATTTATACATATCTTCTTCTATGTACCATGTCTGTTCAGGATGTTGGTGATCATGGTTCTCCACAATTTCTTCTCCTTTGTAGCTCTTTGTAATGTTTGTCTTTTTGCGACATCTCCTAAATTCTGTTCTGCCAACCATTTACATAATCTCTTTAGATAGCTTATGCACTGGTTTCCTCTGTCCTTGCCTTCAATATGCCCTGTGAGTGTCAAATTTTCCAAGACCTCTTTCCTCATTATGTGGAATAATTTATACATATATATTTTAAAACTGAAAAAGAAAAAAAATTGACATTATTTACATTATTCGGACTAATGTCCTCATCTTTGTCATATATTTATCAACGTTTTAGGCCGTTGTATGCTCCAGCCTTCTTCAGGTGGTTGGATGTCGAACTGAACCTTTATTTTGCTCACTGGGGTAGACTGTTCTAGTTCCACATGCCATGTTTTTGATGGATGTCAGTTATCAGTTATCTAACCAACACCTTTATCCACTGTGCCATGTGTCCTCAAGGCAGTGGAGAACTTTCATAGGGACATTAACAGGAGATAACTGATAACTGACATCCACCAAAAATATGGCATGTGGAACTAGAACAGTCTACCCCAGTGAGCGAAATAAAGGGTTCAGTTCGAAATTCCAACCACTTGAAGAAGGCCGTAGCGTATAACAGCCGAAACATTGTGATAAATATGGCAACAAAGATGAGGACATTAGTCCGAATAATGTAAATAATGTACATAATACCTCATCTCAGAAATATAGACAAAAAAATTGACCTAATCAAAGTTTATCTTAACTTGTTAGGTAATTACAGAATTTAAAAATTTACATTGTCCTTTTTCATTTCTTGCAGGAATTGCACCAAATACATTGATTGCTAAAATCTGTTCAGATCAAAATAAACCAAATGGTCAATTTAGCGTTCCATATTCTAGAGAAGCAATTGAGGAATTCATGAGAGATTTACCCATCAGAAAGGTAAGTACAATAGTTTTAATATAATGGAAATTTAGATCCCAAGACTGAAATTTTTTAAAATAATAATACTGAGAAATTAAAAAGAAATAAAGGCTGTGTACATTTTAATCCCCTAAACCAGGGGTTCCCAACCTTTTTTGCATCATCGCAAAAACTTTCCACCATTGACTTGTATAGTTAATATTCAAAAGCATAGAGTGATGGGTAAATTATATTTTAATGAACACTTTTCCTGCTTTGGTAAAATCGAGGTGACCAATTTGATAAAAAAAATAAGAAATAATTTTATATTAAATAAAAATTATCCTGAGGTCACTTTTTAATTTTACTGGCAAAATTGTTCTTGGTCTTCCCTTACCTGATTTATATCCAAAAAAAAAAAAATGTTATTTTGTCTGAAGAATGTTAATGACTATTCTGAAAACTGTAGAAAATATCAAAATATTCTGTTTTGCAAGGATATTTATATCTTATCTAGGAATGTGGCCCAGTTATTTTCATTTAGCCTCTTGTTTTTTGAAGGTTTTTTAATACAGGTTCTTTGCATATATTCTCTGAATATTGTTTTCCAGGTAACATATGTTGAAATATCTTTTTAATACTCAAAAGTCTATATTGCCCACCATTTTCTGTTCAATTTCTCATTGCCCACCCAACAGGTGATATCACCCAGGTTGGGAAACCCTGCTCTAAATAAATAAATATTTTGAGATGACTTTAATTTAACTTTAATTTACACTATTTACATTATGCGGACTGTTGTCCTCATCTTTGCCGCCATATCGGCTGTTCTTCAGGTGGTTGGAATGTCAAACTGAACCCTTTATTTTGCTCACTGTGATAGGCCACAAAAATCTCCTGAGCCAACCAAGCATAGAAATGAATACAATATAGGAACCAGTAATAAGGAATGCCAGAGAAAAGCAATAACAACAACAAAATTGCAATATGAGCTTTGGTAAAAAAGTGCATTGATAACAGCAAAAAATTGCACTGGTAAAAAAGGGTTGTGGAAGACATTAGGTTTATAATACCCAGAAATTCATAAACAGATGTCCTCAAGGACACATGGCACAGTGGATAAAGGTATTAATTAAATCCAGTGACAGGACCCAAAGAGTGTGAGTTCAATACCCAGTTAAGGCAGTGGAGAACTTGGAGAGGGGAATTAACAGGTAACTGATAACTGACATCCATTAAACATGACACTTTTTTACCAGTGCAATTTTTTGCTGTTATCAATGCACTTTTTTACCAAAGCTCATATTGCAATTTTGTTGTTGTTATTGCTTTTCTCTGGCATTCCTTATTACTGGTTCCCATATTGTATTCATTTCTATGCTTGGTTGGCTCAGGAGATTTTTGTGGCCTAGCATATATGCTGATTCCTTAAGTTTACAAATTTTAATAATACTTCATCTCAGAAATATAGACACGACTTTAATTTATTTTTTAATAAATATTTTGAGATGACTTTAATTTACTTGAAATATTCTTCTCCTCTTGATTATTATACAATTTAAATCTTGTGTCTATGTTAACATCTTTAATAATCAAGATGTGAACAATAATTTGAAATAATTAAAGTAGCTTGATAATTTCTCATCTAATAAATGAAATATAAAATTATTAAAAACAGTACAAATCTGCCATGATAACCAAATATTGAAAACAACTGACACTGGATTTAAAGTCTCGAAAAATACAGTACTGATGTCATTTGGAGTAGTAGCATAGTAAATACAAGCATTGGTTAAACATATGTTTCTGTCATCCAGTAGTTGTGAGTTCAATCCTTTGATTAGGTAGTGAAATAATATACACTGGTTCAGAAGGAATGATCAAGAACTGACAAAATAATCAACATTTAATCAAAATAACCCATATCAACCAAACCGGGTACACCTGAAGATGGCCAGAGTGTATTTAGCCAAAATATTAAAAAGAACTAATATGTTGTGAGAAAAATAATTCAGAGTAAATATTTTTTTCTTTTTAAAGATGTTTTTGTAAGTTCAGACAAAGTTTTTAATTTTTTTTTTTTATTTTGCAGAAACATTATTTCCTTTATTTCCTTTCTGGATTCTTTTAATTTGTTTAATATTTTTGTAAACCTTTTCACCTAACCATTTTTTTTGAGAAAAAAGTTTCTTGAAGTTTTTCTTCATATTAGTATGTCTATCCTCATATTTTTTCGGAATGTCATGAATTGGAGCCAATGCATTTTACTGCCATTAATCACACTAAAGACCAGCATTAATCAGCCAGTTTATTAAGAGACAAAAGAAAGAAAGAAAGAAAGAAGTATTCTGTAAAGATAAAAGGTTACTAAAGTTCATTGTCTTGAAAAGACATCCCAAAAATTAGTATTATGGTAAAAATGTCTTTTGGGGGGGTGTTTTCATTTTTATAAAGCCTACTTCCTGTATCTTGGTGAGAAGAGGTTAAGTATCAAAGAGAAAGGAAAAAAAAAAGCAATAACATCAACTAGGAGAGTAAATTGGATAATAGAACACTATTTACATTAGTCGGACTATTGTTCTCATCTTTGTCGCCATATTTATCACAACGTTTTGGCCGTTGTATGCTCCGGCCTTCTTCAGGTGGTTGGAATTTCGAACTGAACCCTTTATTTCGCTCACTGGGGTAGACTGTTCTAGTTCCACGTGCCATGTTTGATGGATGTCAGTTATCAGTTATCTCCTGATTTAAAATGCTTCAAAGTTTTCCCTTTGCCTGCTATCTGGATAGTGGCTTAGAAAAGGGTAGAGGCAAAAATCCACACTACATTGGCCCTGTGAATGTTTACTATCATCAATACAAGCATTTACAAGACAAAAAGACAATTCTTAATTAAAATGCTTTTAATTTCGAAAAATAAATTTTTGTTTTTTGGAAAGTTATTTTTATTTATTTTATTTGTGTATGTATACTGAATTGGATTTGAATTTTATTATAAAAGTTTTTAAGAAATATGTAGCAATCTCTTTAAAGTAAACGGCTTGTGGGTTGATAAAGAAGTCAAAATAATTTCAGTATTGCTGTGAAATCAAGGTTTATTTTGAGATAATTAAATATTGCAATCCATTAGTGATATTTAATTTAAGAAGAGATATTTGTGGATCAAGATAAAAAAAGAATAGATTAAGAATTAACAGAATTTATATTTGGACTAGTGTCCTTATTGTTGTTGTTGTTTTGGTTGTTGTATCCCCTGGCCTTCCTGGGAATAAAGACATCTTACATTTTCCATACCTAGAAGCGGTTTCATGTGATATTTCAAATTGTATGATAATGTGCCACTTGCTGTTGGACCTCTTAATTGCCCTGTTTGTGCCAGAGTATATGTAAGTCCCTTGCTGGGCTAAAGAGCTACATTCATTCAGCATATCAGTAGATTTTTTCATTACTAAATTCATACAAAAAAATTCTCACTTGAAATATTTGAACTCTGGCATTATGACTTTGTGGGGAAAATTGTGAAAATGGCTTACCTCGGAAACGCGTGCGCATCTGTGCAGTGTGCAAACTCCGGTCCTCCCAACGGTAAAAGGAACCAAAATGGCGGCGCCCATATTTTATGCCGGGCGGTCTCGGTTAGTTAATGCGAAATCTCGTTGTCTTGTCATTCGCATGCAAATCGTGGTTGGTCCTCGGCTGTATAAAGCAGGCTCGTTTTGCTGTTTGGGATCAGAGAGCTTTCGGCTCGTGAGAAGGTTGGACGTGCGACACCGGTTTCTTTGTTCCTACCTGCTATCATCAGTTGAGTTGTTGCGTTACCTCCCACAGACTTCCATGTTCCAAAATTATATAACTGTTAATAAATAACACATTCTTAAGAAAACATCTTTTAGTCAACAATACATTTATTTTGTCTTGGAGTTTTATTTGTAAATGGAAAAAAAATTACAGCCTGATGATGAGGACATGAAGTTCTTGAAAGTACTTGTTGCTCTAAAAATACACCAGATCCATCTGACAACAATTTTATACATATGGATTGCGTCATTCAATGGATAAGTTAATGCTTTTTATTAAGTCTGTTAGCGAAGAGAATTAGACGTTAATTACATTAATATTACTAATTGATTCTTTGTATGATTACCTCTTCATTTTATATATATATATATATATATATATATATATATATATATATATATAATAAAAAAACAAGAATTTGTAGCTCTTTAAATGATATTAAGTTTCTGAAAAATAAAAATTTATTAAATCAAAGAAATGAAATAGCGATTTTTTTTTTTTTGTAGACATTGCCAAATTTTTTCCTTAAGTAATAGCTAATTTTTTATAAAATGATACTAACATATTTATATTTGATCTTAAATAAAATAGTTTAGGAATACAGAATTAGATTCTAATATATTAATTTTAACATTACCATATATGTATTCAATTAGTAAATAAATTAAATATAACATCTTAAGTTGGTATAAATAAAAATATAAATATTAAAAATGTGACTAAATAACATTTGAATGCCCCTTTTGAAAAAATCATAATTGAAATTTATATAAAAATAGAATGAAAAAATAAAAAATAAAAATACAAAATGTGTTGGAACATAGACTCTGCCACAAATTTCTACTTGAAAAAAAGGAAGTTTGTATCAACAAACAGATACCCCAGCCCCCACCTTGACTTGACCAATTTGATAGCTACAATGCATTAGATATGTGAGTTTTCTAAATAAGTTAAATCTTAACAACCCTAAAATAAAAAAAAGATGAAATTTTCCTCAACCCCAATGTCTCAAAATATCAAATTTGTCTGGACTTATAAATTAAGTAAATCAATTTCTAAAATGTTATTCTTAGCATCACTTGATAATGGAACAGAACTTTGTATTTTAAGTTTAATTTTTATGATGGGAATTTGAATTGATGTTTCAGTTTTGAAACATGGGAATTTTGGTGTTGCAATGATAATATATTTTTAAAAAAACAATTATAATATTATGATATTGATACATATATTTATTTACATACATATATATATAAAACAGATGATGTCTGTCTGTCTGTCTCTCTGTGAATATGCTATTAATGCACATTCATATTTCTCAACCAATTTCAATGAAATTGTACACACCTGTTGCAAATTTACCTAAGTAAGCCAAGACTAACTTTCCAATCTTCAGGCCCCTCGGGTTTGGCAGAAAAATCAATAAAACAAAGCAAAGTTACACATGAACAAAATTTCTACTTGATGTGCTGATGTTCTTTGCATTTAATGCAAAACATACCTCATGTTACAAGGTTTATGTAGAGTGTTTGATAGTTTTCCTGCGACATTGGCATCACACAAAAAAATCCTAAAAACTGTGAAACAATTAGGTTTTTTCATACTACTTGAAATAAAAACTTGAATAATTTCTTCATTTTTTATCCAATTTTCTTCAAACATGTCACAAAAGATTTGCCATCATGCAAGAAATAAAATAGTGTGGTTTTAGTCCTGCTTGCTTTCTCATGTATAAGGAAAAAAACAGAAAAACTGTTCCAAGAGGCTTTTTTTCATCTGTAACTCCCTGGTTTTTAATCCAATGCTTTCCAAATTTGCCATGTAAATTTCATATGATACAAAAATTGTCTTGCGTGAATGTTTGGTTTAGATTATTTCAGTTAAGCAGATAAAATCGGCAACAAACTAGATCCAAAATTGGTTTTTGCCACTTAGCTTTTTCTTCATATGATTCCATCCTAAATTGGCATTTGGACAACCTTTGATGGAAAGATTGTTTGAGAGGGATTATTGAAGTGTTAAAAGGTAAAAAATTCCCAAAGAAACTCTTATTAACCCCAGCTTTAGAGTAAACATATGAAGAAGGAGTATATATATATATATATATATATATATATATATATATATTTGGTTGGATTGATGTGAGTTTGTGACCCTGGGTTTCATGCTCATGTGATCGTCAGACAAACTGATAAATTTTTAAAAATTTTGGGTTTATGTAGATTGTGTGTATTGGTGTTATTATGGAAGTGGGGGGGAAACGTCATGATGTCATCGTGCTAACGCAAACATCGATGTATGTTCATACACCCAATGAAGTACGCAGACACACATACACACTTGGTCATCCGTCGGGACTCATATATATATATAAACATGTGGACAGTTTCAGATTTGACATATGTATGTATACGGGTGGTGTTGTGTCTATACATACGCATTTGTATGTTGAAATTCAAAGATTGAAAGTGTAGCGAAAATTTCTCGTGAATGTATACATGTCATTTTTCTATTTTTCCACTGAATAATATTTCCTCGCATGTATGTATATGTGTGTGGTGGGGTTTGTGTAAAATTATGATAGGTAAAAATTATTATTATTTTTATTTTTTAATTTTTGAAAAAGGGGGTTTATTTGTTATATTTAAAGCTGGTTATTTGTTTGTTTTTGATGACTGTATATATGTAACTGGTAGAAATTTCGGTTTGTAATCCTTATTGGTTATTTTATATGGTGATATATAATATTTAATATGCTGGGCGTGAGGGTAGTTTACGTTAATAATTGTAGCGGGTTTATATGATAATAGTAGATGTGATGTGATAGTAATGTTGTAAGGGGATTGGAGACAATGATAATATAAGTAGCTAATAGTTATTGTAAATTGGTAGAAGTGATTGGTAATGGTGGTGGGAAAATGATAAAACCATAAATGTAGTTATTGTGGTGGTAGCTTGAACTAAAAAGTGGTTGTTGGTGTTTTATTTTATTATATGTATTAATTTATTTTGGTATAAATCTTGATAATAGGTATTCTGTGTAAAATTATTTTTAATTTTTAATTTACAAAAAAAACTTTTGTTATTATTTTAAAGCTGGTTATTTCCTTGTTTTTTTTGACACACTTTTCATATATATATATATATATATATATATATATATATATATATAAAGTGTATATACATATATATGTATATGTATATATATATATATATATAAAGTGTATATACAAAACTGAGCAGATATGAATGTTTTGAGAGTCTAGGATTTGCGTTCATAAGGCACTATTCAACTACTTTGGTTGATTGTTGGCACACTCCACGGCCAAAGCACATTCTTCTGATGACAGTTTGTCCTGCCAAGGGTGATGCAATTTCAATTCTGCTGGAGAGTGCGTATTTTTCTTTATTAAGATTACTCAGGCCGGTAGATGAAAATAATAAATAAATATATTCTTTAATCAATAAATGGATTGTCTACTGACGTGTCTAACCACTAAACGTAATGTTGAAGTAATAGAAAAGATTTAGCAATATAGATAATGTGTTTGGCTTTTTAGTTTTGCCCCTCTAAAATTCCAGAGATATTGTAAACCTAATTTTTTGTTATTGCTCTTCAGGTCTGTGGAATTGGTAAAGTAACGGAGAAAATGTTGCGGGCACTGGATATTATCACTTGTTCCCATTTATACAAACAAAGAGGACTCCTTCATATTCTATACTCTGAGAGTTCATTTGAGCACTTCATGCGTGTCTTCCTCGGGATTGGCTCAACACGAGTCGAAAGGTAAGCTGCCAGTTAATTTTCACTATCAATCATTCTTGAGGGAGTGGGTGGTTTAATAGTCAATGGCATATAGGTGAAGTGAAATCAAACTCTGACCTGAACATTTTACATTGACTTCATATTAATGTCTTTCGGAAAGGCATGGATCCAATACCCCCCCCCCTTCAAACTCTGAGTAAACAGCAATGTAGTTGCAATCCATTCTTTCTTTAAGGCTTTCAGGTTAGCACCTTGACCTCAGAAAAAGTCACTTGCTCCTGAAACTGGAGCAACAGTACTTGTGTGACTACATCACAACATCATATATGGTTAAGTATATGGCTCAAAATAGTATTTGGTGACCACAGTTCTGTCACAAACTGAATTGGTTGTCTTGTCATGTTAGTCTCTACAGCTGTCTTCAGCCCAATACACCAAAGTTGCACTTTCTCTCTCTCTCTCTTATTGAAAATCAAATAAGCCATCTTTTCACTAGAAGAAAGTTTTATTTGTAGTATTCAATAGTGAAACGCATATATTTCTCTTTTTTTTTTTTTTTATATTTTGTTTTTAAAGCATTTCACCCCAGGCAAGGTGTGAGTGCGACTGGTTTGCAGAGGGGTTACATAGAGTGAAGGTGAGAGAAAAATTATGTCTAGGTCTTGGGGAATAAGAAAATGATAAAAGATGAATGGGGTTCAAGATATTAGAAAATGGCAATTGATATTGTATTTAAATTTTTGAAGATTGTAGTTATCAGGTAAACAGAAGGCAATTCCACAGGCGGGAAGTGTGAGAAAAGAAGCTTTTGGAAGTGGCAGTAACATTTAACTATTTCAATGGTAAAAGGGTGGGATGTAGATGCTGATCTAGTAGCACACTTAAATTTATGTAGATGGAGCCCCAAGGAAAACAGCTCAACAGCACAGTGGCCATGGAAATATTTGTAGAAAAGACAGAGGGAAGCCATATCCTGTCTGTGAAGAAGTGACTGGAGCCAAAATGTCAAGTCAGGATTGATTACATATGGACTGTACTGGCTACTTTTTCTAATCTGCCTACATGTGGTGTTGTAATTCAGAAGAATTACTCTCTATCAAAAATGATTACCCAGAGACCCCCCCTGTTCATCTATACTGACAGATCAAAAGATGATGATGAAGTTGGATGTGCAGCTGTCCACCACAAATTAAAATTAATGAAACCACTTTCAGACAAGGCTTCCATATTTAGTGCTAAGGTGAAAGCTATTGACTTGGCCTTCAACATCATAAATACAAATAAACATAAAAAATTATATACACTGACTCCATGTTAGTGATCATAGCACTAATAAACAAAAAAATGTCAAACTCTATTATCATTAAACAAAATATATCTCAAACTCTGTTATCATTAAACTACTCAACAGGATCAGTAACTTAAATGGCAATATTTTCTTCTGGATATCAACTCATATTGGTATCACAGGGAATCATAGAGCAAATTCTGCAGTAAGAAGGGCATCAACTATAATTACACAACATGGATACCAAAATTCCATATAGAGTCCTGAAACCAACAATCAATAAATATATTAGGGAGGAGTAGCAGAACCTATGGAACTCCTGCCAAAACCATAAATTGTTCAAAATTAAACCAACTCTATGAGAATGGCATCAGAAACACCAAACTAGAAAAAGAAGAAGTGATTATGTCCAAAGTCCATATTGGACATACTGCCATAACCCATTCATATATCCTAAAAAAGGAAGATCCTCCTGTGTGGGTGGCATGCTAAGAGCCATTCACCATAACATACATACTGATAAATTGCAGCAATTTTAATTCAATCCACTTAAAATACTACCAAACAACAAAATTAAAAGAAGTTTTTCAAAATACTGATTCATTTTATATATTTCAGTTTCTAAGAGAAATTAAACAAATTTCAAAAAAAAAAAAAACAACGAAAAAAATATAGAAAGCCATAACAAACAGCAGCCTTATTTTTTAAAATAAAATCTTTTGACTTTAAATTCAAGATTTTATTTTAAAAAATGTTAAATTTCTGCATTAAATTACTCAATGGGTTGATATACCATAAAACAAACCAAACCAACCTGTAACTCAGTAATAATCTTAGTAAGAAAATATGAATTTCATCTTGTTGAGGAAAAATGCTTTCAATCCCATTTTTACAGTGTACCATTCTTTCTGCAATTCCATTTGACTGTGGATGATATGGTGGGGGTTTTATATCGGATACATCCAATTTTCCTTAACTAAGAACACAGACATTCATCACAAAATTCTGGAATATTATCTGACACTAATGTTTTCAATACTCCATTTGAAGCAAATATTACCTATATTGTTATTTATTATTTTACTAGTTTTCTTATCATGAATGTGAACAACTTCAGCCCAACCAGAAAAAGAGTCAACCAAAATAAACAAAATCCCAGACCATTAATTTGTGCATGGTCCATATGAACGTAAAACCAAGGTTCTGTCTCCTTAGGTCATGTCTGTACTTTATTCTGGCAAAAAATCTTTATTTCAGTACATTTAGGAACTTTGTGTTCATGATTTTCGACATCGCATGCTTATCTATCCAACCACGCTTCTAATTCCAAATGTAATTTCCACTGTGCACATTGTCATACACACTTTTTATTACATTTTTCAGGTGCTACTACTAAATCTTTATTACATACAACACTATTTTCTATGGTCAACTTATGTCTAATTTCTTTGCATGACCTTTCATCTTTTGAACAATTATTCTATTTATTATTTTTTATTCTAGATACAATTTTACTTAATATTGGATCCTGTAATGTTTCTAAGGCAAATTGATTTATCTGTGGAATGTCAGTTTCTATCCAGTGCAAAAATTAATTTTCTATATTTTCTAATTTTTTTTTTTTAAATGTAATTTGGATAATGCATCTACATGGAGAATAGCATTTCCTTTTATATAGTTGATATCAAAATGAAAAGCCATCAGTTTTATGACCCATCTTAATATTCTGAGAGATGTAACATTCGGTAATTCTTTCCTGAGGTTAGAAATGAATCCTAGGGACTTATGGTCATATTTTAATAAGAATTTCCTGTTCAATAGAAATTGATGAGCCCTACTAGTGTTCCAAACTATAGTTGGAGCTTCTTTTTCCTATATTTCAGTAATTCGGCCAACATTAATACTCTAAAAAGATACATAACTAGGTATCCTTGCTGTACTAAGATTGTCAATATGGAATTTTTTACTAGCATCTATAGTTAATGTATCATTTTGGAGGTTAAAAAACTTGATAATGTTTTTTTTTGTTTTTTTTGCAAAAGCATTTTTCAACTTATCAAATGCTGTTTATTGTATATTAATCCACTTAAATTCATTGTTCTTTTTATGCACATTGGCAAACACTTGAATTAATTCTGAATATTTAGGTAAGTATTTACTATAAAAATTTGCTAAATTCAAAAAGGATTCTAATTCTTTTTTATTTGTCGAAGGAGACAGCTCTAATATTTTCTTCCATTTTTTGAAATTTGGTACCTGAGATATATTTTTTCACAACTCAATAGACATTTATTTATCTGTTAATAGTCATACTATGTATCCTTAGTTTATTTAATACCTCGTTGGTTTTTGTTTCAACTCTTCTTCATTATCAGTTTCATCAGATATCTTGTTAAGTGGAAAACAGCTGACATGTCACAAAAATGGTTTCGGACATTTATTTTTCCGATAATTATCAGCTAAATGAAGTGGACTTTCCAAGTGGGTTGGACAAAGAAAGTCACTGAATGAAGATAAATAATTTTTTTAGACAAAGATGACATGACAAAGGACAATGTTCTCTATAAGATAGTGGTCGCTATCTGCAAAAAGGGCAGAGTAACAAGAAGATTGCCTCCCATCAATGGAAAAGGGAAAATGCCCATTAGACTGTTCACCTCCCCCTCACTCATGCTTCATCTCGACTTTGCTTGTTTATAGCAGCAGGTTACACTCTGAGGATAAAATCTGCTTACTGCTACAATTTCTCATGGTCTTTTATTTGTGGGTAATAATCTGGTAAAAGGCATATTTTGAAGCCACAAGCGTTTGATTAGAATAAGCTGCACCCTGAGAATGAACCTGGTGTCTGCCTAAGCTGCAACGTTACTGCTGCACCCAAAACATATCTTGATATATTATCATCATTTTTTATGTCCCTTCTTTGAACGTTTTCTATTGCAGTCTGATTGGGGAGTTAATAGTGGTGATTTCTTTAGATTTATCATCAGTTTGAATTTGATGGTATGCGCTTTTTAGATCAATTTTCATAAACCATTTCATTCCTGCTAATGAATGTAATATATTTTCAATGTTTGGGATAGGCTAAGAATCCAAACAAATCTTATGGTTTACGCCTATTTATAGTCACCACAGATTCTAAAATCACCATTTGGCTTTTTTCAGAACCGCTATAGGTGATGCCCATTTACTCCCACCCAAAGAGAACATGTTCCGAAATACCTTGTTCAACCATTTTATGTAGTTTTGCAACTACCATGGGTAATAAGTGAAATGGAAGTCTGTGAAATTCAAAATAGTGTTATAATTTTTGAAATTCAGAATAGGTTTACAGTTTTCTTTCAATTTAATACTTGTATTATAATCTTCTAACACTCCAGTTTTGGGATTATCTGAATTTGTAGCATGAATTAGACATGTGCTATTAACCTTAAGTACATCTGTTCCTATTAAGGCATGGCTGGTGTTACAGTCCACAACTACATTTGTAACAATTTTGATCCTGGTATTCATTTCGAATGATCCCAAAAGTTCTTCAGAATTAGCATTACATCACTGCAGTATGAATTGGCATTTTTAAATTTACCTGATTTATTTTAATTTCCATGAAGGTATTTTCTTTCTTATTCTTCTGCATTGAGAAAACATCAGTTTCACTTTTTAAATTAAACATTGATTTTTTTTGACACACTTTATATATTTCTTTTTAATTTACACACCAACTGAAAATGATTTTT